ATATGTTTATTCTATCCAGGCTCACCGGTTTATAACTAGTCATGTATAACTGTTTATTATCCTTATCCAGGCATCTTTATCAATGAAAATTCCTTCATACAGATTTGCCGTATTTCGAATTTCATGAGCAATTAAGTTGCACAAATGATCAACAAAAACTATTTGTTAAGACTGTTAGTGTGATAGTTAGATAGAGTGTTTCTTTCAATCTAATCAAATGGGTAAAAAAACTAAAAATAATAATTAAACATGGGCAACATAAACGTAAATGTTATCGGTTCGACTTTTACCAGTATTAAGTCAGAGAAGAAGATGTGTTTTATACTAGCGACTGCCTCTGGCGCATGTTGTGGCACACTATTGACGATGAGCCGCTTTGAGCCCTTGGTTGCTGCGTCTTAGTCCTGCCTTACCTCAGTATCCTGAGGAATACAGTCAATGCTATTACAAGTACACGTGTTAAATGCACAATGTTTTTTTTATTATGGTAACATTTATTATTTCGGTAAATGTATTCTAGGCGTGTTTGGGGAGTTGCCTCTAGTTACATTAGTGAGGCTGGTTTCAATAATTGACATATGATTAAATTGAATAATTAGTAAATCGCCTATATTGTTGAATTTTTAACATATCTGTTCGCACTTTTTTCAATATTTTACCTAAAATTATTTCGTTATGTTTCAATAGGTCAGTTATCTTTATGAATCCCTCGTTGTCGGTTGAGCTTAATAAAGAGCGGTGCAACTGCCAACGTCGAACGCTGTGACGCAGGTGCAGTACTGCAGCCCGAGGCAATTCTCAAAGAAGCCAAAATTTACACATCCACGGCTATCATTTAACCCCAGTATGTTTAAATAAAACAAATACTAGTTATCAAATTAACGCACATATTTGAAAACTAAAAGCAACTTTATTAAGCAAAAAATTAATTGATTCAATTACGGAAATTGTTGCTTGCTATGTTAGCTAATGTGGCCACATCGTCATTACGAGGGTAATTCAATATCATATTATTACTTTACATTATGATAGTTAACTCGTATATTTAGGCCATGCTAACGGAATGTCCGAATCGGGTTTGTCATACGCTGGAACTGGAACCGAACAAGCTAGCGAACAAAAAAGGATGTCTTAATAGGAAAAACCTATCGCTAATTCAGCAGCCAACGGTAGTATAAGCATATTCTGTCTTCGTGTTGCTTGGAGAGTAAGATAGTAGTCGGAGTGACATATTATGGCTGGCGTAGGCTTGATTACAGTATCACAATACAACGAGTATTCATACTCCATGCAAATTAATTAAAAATTCGTTCATCAGAAAGCTATCAATGAACTATTATTAAACGGAGAAATGCTGGCCGCATTTGTATAGGTAGTGGACTCAATCACTAGGGAGTTGCTGCCCCCTGGTACGACGGGGGAGCTGTACGTTCGTAGTGCGTATATAATGCGCGGCTACATCAACAACCCTGAGGCGACGGGCAGCGCAACCATTTGACACGAGGATTGGGCTGCACCGGGAGACGCTCTGGTGGCGTACGATGACGATGGCTTCATCTACTTCATGGATAGACTAAGGATATCATCCGAATTGCACCTGACAAAAACCACGACCATTCAGTATAATTCCCAAACTGAGGAGCGCATTAGCCAGTGGTGTAACGATGGCAGCAGAAACGCTGAGGGTTTTCTGTGCCGATGTGTTCAAGGTTCAAACCGAAGTGCCACACTTGATACCCATAATAGATACAACAACCGACTTTACCGGTTTATACACCATATATACTACTCTTTGAAACACAACAACCAGCGATCGCGTGGCTTGCAGCAACGATAATAAAAGCCAAACTGTTTTGTTCAGAAACAAACATCTTTCTCATGAATGACACGCACGTCTCAGATTAAACAGAGCGTGTAAATACGCGAATATACGCATAACAAACAATACGCGTCTTCGCGCTGTCTGTATAGTGATTACATTCAGTATTTGGCGTCCGGGTATGTTGCAGGTTCGCCTTCAGAAATGGAAAACATCCTCATGGAGTCATCTCAGGAGTAGGAGACGTCGCTGTTACCGGCATCCAGATTCCAGAAAACGAAGGAACGAACTAATCCGAGGCTTTCGTCGTCCGTAAACGGACACATTATCTGCAGAAGACTCTTATCGAGTTTTTGTAAAGGTACTGGTCTGCTCAAACAATCACCTGCATTCACCGTAATATCGTTCGTCGTCATTTTTGTACCTTTCTGTCGCTTAATTATTTCATGCTCTTATCAACAGGTGACTGTAGTTTCGTATTCACCCAAAGATCTCGTTCCTCCTTCTTTTTAACTCTTTCACTCTTCTGTCTCCTTTCTCTTCTCTCTCTCTCTCTCTCTCTCTCTCTCTCTCTCTCTCTCTCTCTCTCTCTCTCTCTCGTCTCTCTCTTTCTCTCTCTGTTTATCCATCCGTCATCTATCCATCTATTCATTCATCCATAAAATAAATCGATCAATCAAATCAATCAATTGATTCATCCATCCAACCATCCATCGATCTATCTATTCTACATCTATTCAGCAAATCTGTCTTGGCCGGTTTGGTTAACACTTCCTTGCGTCCATTCGTCATCCGTGCGCTTTAATCCGTTTGCGACACGATCGTCTGGTAAAGATAGATGTATCCATAAATGCGTCTCGCGGCACATACTCGTTCCCCGGCCAACTGCAACGTAGACACACACACACACACACACACACACACACACACACACACACACACACCCCCCCCCCACACAACACACACACACCACACACACACACACACACGACGACACACGACAACACACAGACTCCTGATTGGTTCGCTGTGGACGTGGATACTGCACCATGGGCTATTAATGTTGAAAGGGCCGACATATATCACAGCCCCTGATGGCAGGGATATACAGGAGTCAGTTTCTGCTTGTCGGATGAGTTGGTGGAATGTCGTAGTGGAGTGTTCACCATCGACTGGTTATCTGATGAGGGCGTTATGTGACATACTGACGCGTCGGTGGCCACGCATACACGCCCACACGCATACGCATGCACGCACACACACACACACACACACACACACACACACACACACACACACACACACACACACACACACACACACACACACACGCACGCACATATACTTTTATTTTCTGTTTCTTTCTCTCTCACACTCTTTCTCTCTCGCTCTCTCAAACCTGAATACCATACCTTGTATGCTTATGTGTAGTGCAGTGTAGAGCTGTTATGTGTCTCGTGTTCTACCTCTTAACATAAGTTATATGATTTACTTTTATTTAGACAAGACGCCAAGAAAGTATGTCACGTTAACAGGAGGTGTGCGCTTTCTGAAAAGCATTCCGAAGAATCGAGTCGGCAAAAACATGCGCAGCGAACTTCAAGCTCAGCCTTTTGAGTAATTATCTTTAATGGTGACGTATGATGCGCGCTGCAAGCGGCACCTGGCGAAAGTCCTTTTCGGGCTCGGAATACTGATTATACTAACTATAACTAGTTAATATATGGAGATTAGTGGCGCTAAACGGTAAATTTTTCGAGATTCGGAAATAAACGTCAAACGGGACGCGTGATTGGACCATTTTGATTATCGTGAAACCGGAAATTACCAGATAATTGTTTTCGTGAATTGGGAATAGAACTCAACCGGGACGCGGGGAACGCCCCGAAAGATTTCTTGTGCAGAATAATGACAAGGTTTAGAAGGAGCATAACTACTCCTTCCAGAATGACTAATTCATATAGGTGATAATGGCGTGGACACCAGGAAATATATTTTGACAGTAAATATATATCAATTATCGAGGAAATGGCATATTTTCTGAGAAACTTGGAGTTGACTCCACCCGTTCCAATTCCTTAATAAATATTCTGTTTACATTCATCGTTTTAGATCACCCACTTTTAGTCTAATGTTTAGTCTTATTGAACCGTAAGAAATATTGGGACATAGCACAAGCATCACATAAAATGTTACGACATTTTGCACTAATAATGCCATAACTATTTATGATGTTTTTAGCCATGGCCCCCTGGTGATAAGATATCTAGAAACTAACGGTGCGTTTCCTGTGGCGGCTCTGAAGGCGTTATCAGAATTAATCTAGTGCTGTGTTTTGTCGTTTATGCTCTCCTATCGAATAATCTGACACTATTTATATATAGTGTTTATATCAACCTAGTACGCATACCTTGTATCATGAATATTTAATTCAGTACCTACCGGTAACAAGAATGAATAAATCACATGTACGTTGTCTTCTAAACGCATTTGGTTTGAATAAACTATAATCATCATTGCTTGTGTCATTTTTTCGTTTCTGTAATTTTATCACGAAATTATGGAATGGCTGCTGTGCGCGAAAAATCTATTAAATGTATTAATTTTACATTACTCAACAGTTGAAAACATGTTTATTTATATTTTAAAATTAAAATGAACATATATATTTTATTGTAGATTAGTTTTCGTACTAATCTATATCTACTCCTTTTTATACATATCCTACAAAATACACAAGCGGCGATACATGCACATAGAATCGGGAGCATCCGAGATTTTCGACGCGCGAGCAGATAGCTCAGATTTGAAACGTTTAATATTGCTAGAGTCGCGAAGAAAATTCACCGTGTGCGCGTAGCGTGGGCTCGTATCTGAGCGAGAATAATCTCGCGAGAGTAGAATTCATTAGCGAGAGAAGAATATTATAATCTCGCGAGAGTAGAATATTCCCACGAGAGTATTTAATAAACGCGCGTTAGCGGTAAGCGAACCACGTGATTCAAGTCATATTACGTAACCATAGATGTCTACTATATACGTTTATATATATATATATATATATAACGAAGGATACGAACTAATCCGAGCTTTCGTCGTCCGTAAAACGGACACATTATCTGCAGAAGATCTTATCGAGTTTGTGAAAGGTACTGGTCTGCTCAAACAATCACCTGCATTCACCGTAATATCGTTCGTCGTCATTTTTGTACCTTTCTGTCGCTTAATTACTTTCATGCTCTTATGCAACAGGTGACTGTAGTTCGTATTCGACCCAAAGATCTCGTTCCTTCCTTCTTTTTAACTCTTTCACTCTTCCTGTCTCCTTCTCTCTTTTTCTCGCTGTTTATCCATCCATCCATCTATCCATCCATTCATTCATCCATCAATCGATCAATCGATCAATCAATCAATCAATTGATTCATCCATCCAACCATCCATCGATCTATCCATTCATACATCTATTCACAAATCTCTCCGGCCGTTTGGTTAACGCTCCCTCGGTCCATTCGTACATCCGTCCGTTAATCCGTCTTTCGCAACACAGTCGTGGTAAAGATATATGTATCCATAAATGTATCTATCTCGTCTCGCGGCACATACTCGTTTCCCGGCTAACTGCAACGTAGACACACACACACACACACACACACAGACTCTGATTGTGATCGCTGTGGAACGTGGATACTGCACATGGGCTATTAAATGTGAAAGGGCCGACATAATCACAGACCCCTGATGCAGAATATACAGAGTCATTCTCTTGTCGGATGAGTTGTGGACATTCTAGTTGGATGTTCACCCATCACTGGTTATCTGATGAGGCGTATGTGCACATACTCACGCGTGAGCGCACGCATACACGCCCACACGCATACGCATGCACGCACACACACACACACACACACACACACACACACACTTATATTTTCTGTTTCTTTCTCTCTCACACTCTTTCTCTCTCGCTCTCTCAAACCTGAATACCATACCTTGTATGCTTATGTGTAGTGCAGTGTAGAGCTGTTATGTGTCTCGTGTTCTACCTCTTAACATTAGTTATATGATTTACTTTTATTTAGACAAGACGCCAAGAAAGTATGTCACGTTAACAGGAGGTGTGCGCTTTCTGAAAAGCATTCCGAAGAATCGAGTCGGCAAAAACATGCGCAGCGAACTTCAAGCTCAGCCTTTTGAGTAATTCTCTTTATGGTGACGTATGATGCGCGCTGCAAGCGGCACCTAGCGAAAGTCATTTTTGGGCGCGGAATACTGATTATACTAACTATAACTAGTTAATATATGGAGATTAGTGGCGCTGAACGGTAAATTTTTTGAAATTCGGAAATAAACGTAAAACGGGACGCGGGATTGGAACATTTTGATTATCGTACAACCGGAAATTACCAGATAATTTGGTTTGGAACCAAGGGTTGGAAGAAGCATAACTACTCCTTCTAGAATGACTAATTTATATAGGTGATAATGGCGTGGACACCAGGAGATATATTTTGACAGTAAATATACATTAATTATCGAGGAGCTGGCATATTTTCTGACAAACGTGGAGTGGACTCCACCCGTACCAATTCCTTAATAAATATTCTGTTTACATTCATCGTTTTAGACCACCCACTTTTAGTCTAATGTTTAGTCATATTGAACCGTAAGAAATATTGGGGCATAGCACAAGCATCACATAAAATGTTACGACATTTTGCACTAATAATGCCATAACTATTTATGATGTTTTTAGCAACGGCCCCCTGGTGATAAGATATATAGAAACTAACGGTGCGTTTTCTGTGGCGGCTCTAAAGGCGTTATCAGAATTAATCTAGTGCTGTGTTTTGTCTTTTATGCTCTCCTATCGAATAATCTGACAGTATTAGTATATAGTGTTTATATCAACCTAGTACGCATACCTTGTATCATGAATATTTAATTTAGTACCTACCTGTAACAAGAATAAATAAATCACATGCACGTTGTCTTCTAAACGCATTTGGTTTGAATAAACTATAATCATCATCGCTTGTGTTATTTTTTCGCTTCTGTAATTTTATTACAAAATTATGGAATGGCTGCTGTGCGCGAAAAATATATTAAATGTATTAATTATACATTACTCAACAGCTAAAAAATATTTATTTATATTTAAAAAATAAAATGAACATATCTATTTTATTGTAGATTAGTTTTCGTACTAATCTATCTCTACTCATTTTTTTATACATATCCTACAAAATACACGAGCGGCGATACATGCACATATCCTCGGGAGCATCCGAGATTTTCGACTCGCGAGCAGATAGCTCAGATTTGAAACACGTTTTATATTGCTAGAGTCGCGAAGAAAATTCACCGTGTGCGCGTAGCGTAGGCTCGTATCTGAGCGAGATTATAGCCAGAGAAGAATATTATAATCTCACGAGAGTCGAATATTCCCACGAGAGTATTTAATAAACGCGCGTTAGCGGTAAGCGAATCACGTGATTCAAGTCATATTACGTAACCATAGATGTCTACTATATACGTTTATATATATATATATATATGTGTGTGTGTGTGTGTGTGTGTGTGTGTGTGTGTGTGTGTGTGTGTGTGTGTGTGTGTGTGTGTGTGTGTGTGTGTGTGT